CTCTGTGCTGTCAGACTCAAGCCTATTAGACAAAAGACCAAAAACGCTGTGGTGAGTGAAGCCATTAATGTCTTATAACCACTTATTATTATATTGCCTTGTGAAACCATATGCCCATTTCACTTTGAGTTTAGAGCACTAGGGAGAACCTGTAAGTTATTAGCTAGAATTGCTGATTTAAGATCATGATGTAACAAGATGTGTATTGTATTCCTCTCTAGGTCAGTATCCTGGATTCTGGAGAGGTGTGTATGGAGCTGCTGAAGGGACAAGGAACTCAGGAGAGAGTCAAAGAAGTACTTAGGATATCCCATGATGGATCCATGGTGAGGGACTAAAAACTCACTAATTCATGTAATGTAATTAATGGAATACATACTACTGTTCAAATTTTTAGGGTCAGTGAGATTTGTTTTAATGAAATTCCTACTTTTATTCAGCAAAGATGCATTAAATTGATCAAAAGTGCCCGTAAAGACATTTATAATGTTATATTGATTATTTGTCATTAGTGGAGAAAATGATTAATATTTGTGAATCTCTAATTCACATGCTCTATTTTTTTTTTTTGTCAACTGTTTTTAGGTTACAGTGTACCAGCCCAATGAAGGGAAAGGCTTCCCTGTGTTAGACCACCCACCCTCACCACCTGAAGACATTCTCATCTGCAGCTATGAGGACTTACCAGGTACAGCACCATACAAGACTTCAGTAAAGTGATGATAATTCTTTTGAAAGGGTCATGTGTTTATAATATTCATAGTTATCACCGTTTCCCTCAGCTGTCTCTATTCATTTGAAAAGCATTGCATTAAACTTACTTGCATTTACTGCAGAAAAATACTGGAAGAAATATCAGTATGCCACGAAGTTTGTCCAGTTGGTGAAATCGAAGACCCCTAAAGTCACGCTATACACAAAATTTGCCAAGTGCATGCTGATGGAGAACACTCCTAATGCAGACCTGGAGGTGTGCTTCTATGATGGTGAGCGGCACAGATGATCTCAGCAGAATGAACTGTGTGTAGTGCTGATTGTAGCTGATTTAGGCTTAAGGAACCTTTTTTTCATCCTTTAGGTGCAAAAACCCATAAGACGAGTGAACAGGTGCGTGTGGTGGAGAAGAACGGGAAATCGTATACAGTGAAGGGCGACGTTGGGCTGAGCGGACTGAGTCCTGAGTGTAGACTCTACATGGAGCTCTCTGAGGAGGTACTGCATTACTGCATCATGTTTTCTACTTTGTGAAAGCACGACTTGACATGTTTAAGAGTAAAATTGACATTCTGCATTTTGATAGATGCACATTCAGTGCTTGCATGTTTATATAAGGTCTTTCAAAGGTCAGGTGGTACTGCTTGCTACATTGTTCTTCCAGCTATTATAATGCTAACCAAGATTCAAAGCTTGTTTTTTGTTGTTCTTCTTAGGGGCATCGAATGTGTCTGTCTTTGGAAGCGGCCATCACTGCTGAGGAGCAGCGAAGCGCTAAGAACACTCCATTCTTTCCCATCACTATCGGCAGGTGAGGCTTAAAATCTGTCACCAGAGCTAAAAAACTGTCAGCCAAACCCTATTGGTTGAGATTAAAAGTCATGCATGAAGTTTGTCTCGCATTCACCATCTTATGCTCCATCAGGAGACCCACCAATCCAGCCTTTTCGGCTTCTCAGCCTCAGTGTTCGTCTGAGTCTAGCCCAGCAGCACCTGCAGAGGTGGCTCAGGTGTGCCTCAGTCCGCCCCAGCCACCCCACATCACACCATCAGTACGTCATGCATGCACATTATCCCAAAGCACATCAGTTTTGGTATTTCAGAGTGTGTCCCACTCTGAAATTAAATGTTTCATTAACAGTAACTTATGCCTTTCCCTCTAGATGATTTCCTATGCGGGATCGGACTTCACCACAGCTAGTGTGGCTAAAGGCAGCTCACCCCACTCAGGCAAAGATGAACGCACCATTAACACGGGAAAGGTGCTCAAGTCCATTTTTGTGCCTAACATCGGCTGGGCCTCTCAGGTAAACTGTTTGACTAGATCGTTTTTTTTCTTTTTTAATTATTATTTTTATTATAATAATAATTATAATTAATGTGTGTAAATAATAAATGTGTAGGCAACTGAAATTATAGAACAAAAATAAGAGATCATTATTTACAAAAACTCAAATTAAATGCAAATACTTTGTTTCTAAACACTTTAATTACTGAGAACATTTAAAAAAAAAATGTTAAGCATGATAAGGAAATTATTTAATTTGAATATAAATCATTGTCGCACCACATGACATTTTTTAAGGCTACGGCCAATTCATCTAGATGAAAAAACACTAAAATCACTTCATTTTAAATTTTAATATGAATTTATGTGTACACAACATTCTTAATGTTTGAACAATTACAATAGATATTATTTTTTGTATTTTAAAATTGGCCTGTCGAAAATCCTTATACGTCAATGACCCGTATGTATGTATGTATATGTATGCATGTATATATATGTATATGTATGTATGTATATATATGTATATGCATGTATGTGTATATATATGTATGTATGTATATATGTATGTATATGTATGTGTATATATATGTATATGTATGTGTATATATATGTATATGTGATACTATATGTATATGTATGTTTATATACTGTATGTATGTATGTATGCATGAATGAATGTATGTATGTATGTACATATACATATATGTATATGTATATTAGTATTAGCATTTAAGTGTGTTTATTTATTAATTAATTCTTTTTTAGTTAACTACTGGTGAGGTATGGGTTCAGTTTAATGATGGATCCCAGCTGATGGTCCAAGTTGGTGTCTCTTGCATCATTTTTACTTCCCCTGATGGACACATCACCAGGTAAAGCTTGTTATAAAGAAAGAAATATTATTTAAGAACCATGACACTGCATTTGCAATGTATGTAACTTCTATAATGCATAATCCAATTGTGCATTTACATTTTTTTATTTGCAAAACAAGGCCAATGACATTTATAAAGACTGTAATCGAGGTCTGTTTTTGATTTTATGTTGTGTTTAAGAATGAATGCTGGCAGAGATACTGTTCTGAATTCTTATGCTTTTTGTTTCCTCTCAGATATAAAGAGAATGAGAAGTTACCAGAGCTGGTCAAAGACAAGCTTCACTGTCTCTCCACCATCCTGGGCCTCCTCGCCAGCCCTGCTGTCAGACGCTGATGGGCACTAAACACACAAATAAACCTGTGCATCGCTGACGGAAGCACTTGTTTTTTTTTTTTTTGTCAAATTCTCATGAATGTGCTTTGAGTGTTTGTAAATACATTTTTAAAGCTTTGTACATATAGTCCCAAAGATTATGAAAATTATATATTTTTTATGTTGTACATAATGGGTTTCCTGTTTTTGTCTTGTGTATTTAGTTTGTGCATGGTGCCTTTTATTTTGTGTATCAGTTCTGCTAAGCGCTTCAATGAAATATTAGCTGTACAAACGTACAAGCATTAAACATCTGCTGCCTGGTGTATTATTGCTTTTTTGTGTCTTCTGTGTTTATTTAAAGCACATGTGGGCAGGATTTATCATACTGTTCAATACTGTTCAACTGGTTACTGATAATGACAAACTGCGAATTAAAATATAAATGGATGAATCCCACAAAAAAAATCACCCCTAAAATCTAGAGATAAGAATATATTTTTAATAAATAGAATTATTTTTAGTTTCCTGTTGAAATGCAAAAAAAATCTCATGCTCAATGTATTACATTTTTTACATTTTAAAGTATTTTGTGATTTACACTTGTTATATCATGGTAGTACATTGTGGTATTGAATTTATTTATTTTTTGCTTTTATTTTTTAAAATTATTAAATACCATTTAAAAGTTTGGAGTCTGTTTTTTTTTTTTTGAAAATTATCTTACGCTTTTCAAAGGCTGCATTTATTTGATCAAAAATACAGTAAAAACAAGAATATTGTGAAATTATTTCAATTTACGTAGCTATTTTCTATTTTAATATATTTTAAAATGTAATTTCTGTGATGGCAAAGCTGAATTATCAGCAGCCACTACTCCAGTCTCCAGTGTCACATGATCCTTCAGAAAACAGGAAAACATCAGATCTTCATCGGTTTAACACCCTAAAGATCAAACATTACCAAGAAAATATAAATATTTTATATAAAATAAATATAACAACAACTGTTGTTTACAAAGCCTGATTTACAACAGTCAACTTTTACATAAGACACTTTGAACAAGTATTTTCCATCGCATTCTCAAACAAAAACCGCTACACGAGTGGTTTGAATTTATTACCTTGTTTTCTCCAAAACCCCGGTCAGTGCGTGAACTTCTCAACGTGAGTAATCGCGTTGCACTGGCGCCCCCTTGCGGCAACATTCATTCACACAGTCGATTCAGCGGCAGCAAGGCATTAGCGGTACAAACCTCCTGTCATGCTTTAGGAGGGACACATACACGCACACACACACAAGCTAGCCGGACTGAATTGAGCCCAGCCCCACCTCAGGAGGAGGCTGTGCTCGCTCTCTAGGCGTCTGGATTGAGACCAGATCTCATTCGATCATCACCAGAGCGCCTTTAATTCTGAGTCTCCGCGACAGACAGACAGCAACACGAGTCATGGAGACCAGACTGCCCTCCAGCTAGCTAACTGCTATCCGGTCGGAGCCCGAAAACATGCGCTAGACAGGTATTTACTCTGCTGCATCTGCTCTTTCTGTGTCCACAGGGGAATAAACACGACTTGAAGATTTCTGACATCCATCAGTGAGACTTGAGATGATCTGAATGTGAAAGTAGGTGGGAGTGCTAGCTTGTTTGCGCTGCTGTTGAATGGGTTGTTTATGGCGGATTTCAGGAGTCCTCCGGGGTCTCTAGTATTGCTTTCTGTTTCCCACAAATGAACAGAATATGTATAAGGAGCAGATTCAACTGTATTTCTATTCAGTGATACTGTGAGAGTAAGACTTAAACCAGAAGAGAAACGGGCTGCGTCTCCAATTCGAGTGAGCTGCCTTCCTGGACAGCATTGGTGGGCATCACGGCGCTTTCTAACGATCGAAAAGTTTCAACTCTCCCTTGAAGCATCGAATCTTCGAATCACGGTCGACCTGGGGCCTGTACCATGATGGTGGCTGAACAAACTCGGGGTTACAGGATTAGTTTTGAGTTGACAAAACCAAACCAGTCCAATCCGGCTTTGTTGGTACCATGAAGCTGATCATCAACTTTCTCTGTCAACTCAGGCTTTGATCCTGAGGTAATGGAGCACGTGCACATGAAAGTGTGACATCAGAAATGAACATCCAATCAAATGCCTTGAAACTGTGATTCACTTCTCCTGAGAGAGTCAATGCTATTCACTACCAAAGATTAAAAGATTGAACAATATGAAGAATTTAAACACATTTACAAGATGAAACGATTTATCCATGAAAGAGGAAAACTTAAAGAAAACATCTTGCCATATAAGTGCAAGTAAAAGTTGTACAGTTAGTTTATAGAGTTGATAATATTTATAGGTATAAAAACAATTAAAAATCTAACCTCATATGTAGTCATGTTTAAAGCTATTGATTCTAAAACTTATTTATATTGCATATTATCTATATGTTTATATTAATTTAAAATAAAAGCTTAATAATTACTATTAAACTAAGCTAGCTTGTGTAATGGATTAAGGGTATAATAATTATATAAATCATATAAAATAATTATAAAAAATAATCATCTCTAAAAATCAGACAATTTTATATTTAAAAGGGTTTTACTATGTAGCATCCTTTAATTTGTAGGAAGAGAAACTGGGGGAGTGGCTTTATTGCGTCAGACATGTGTCACTTTGCTTGAAGCTGATTGGTCAAATTTCGCTTTGAGATCTCTAAACCAGAACATAACCTGCCCCAGAGCAGGTTAGCTGTGGAGTGTAAGTTACTAAGGCAATGAATGCTTTTTAAAGCCAAGCCACTTTCATGGTACCTAAAACCCAGGATTGGTGCAAACTAAACTGAAACTTACCTGGCTAGCCAGCTAAACCGGCTTCATGGTACAGGCCCCA